AAAAAATTTTAAACAGTTTAATTATTTTAAAATAATTCAGATTTCATAATTATGTTAAAATCAAGTTAATTTATTTCTAATTTGTTTTATCTATTTTATATTTTTTATAAATATATAAATATAAGAATTTATGTAATTTTATATCAATCTCATTTCCTTGATTGATTGTGTTTTTTACACTACATTCAAACTTATATTATGTTTAATAAATCATAATTATTATAAATGTCTTAACATACATAACATATATCCGATATTCAAATAAATATATATATTAATTTTAAATATCAATGAAAAAGCTTAGAAAAAACTTAGATCTTATTAAGTTAATAAAGTTTTATAAATATTTTACACTTGTAACTAGTTTGTTATAAATATTTGATCTTGAAGACGGTCTTCAATAGGATAGAGTCAACAACGAATTAGATAGCCATCAATAAGTCAATATACCATTAACTCACATAAGTAGCCTTGGTCGCTGCAGTTAATAGAAGAATATATATATATATATATATATATATATATATATATATATATATATATATATATATATATATATATATATATATATATATATATATATATATATATACATTCTATACTAGATAAATGCAGGTGGTCATTTTTTCGTAGTCACAAAGGATTTTATAAACACATCCAAATATTTCTCAAGTAAATTACACTAATAGTCCCTGTGCGTTAGCATAACTTGTGTTTGGTTCCCAACTAATTGTCTCAACTTTTTTAAATTTGTCCCGGACTGTCTAAAAAGGACTATATTGCCCTAAATAGCATTTTTCTACTTTTAAATTCGACAAAATTGCAAAAATGGTCCCTGTGGTTGGCAAATTTATGTGATTTTGGTCCAAAACGAAATGTTGGTGCACCACTGGTCCAAAATTAGATTTTTCTATTGGTTTTGGTCCCTATACACTTAAAATGAAGGTTATGCCCTTATAATTTACATTTTTCATTTTCTTTAGTTGTTGAAATACATAAACAAATTTAATTTATATCTTTTTTAACTTAAAACAAAAATAATAAAAACAAATAACCCATTCCCCACTCTTATCTTAAAGAAGCCCTTCATCACCGGTTCCATCCTCATCACTGATATCTGGAACTAACATTATCTGGAACCAACATCCTTCATCACCGGTTCCATTTGACCCTCGATTCTTTTAGGGTTTCGGTGGCCTTCTCCCATTTGCAGTTTACTCTAAGCAAGCGGTTTCAGATCCTAAAATTAGGGCTTGCGTCGGATCGTGCTTCTCTTCCTCCACAGGGGGCTCCATCTCATCCATCTTCTAAGTTAGTTTTTCGATGCTCTGTTTTGTTTGATTGAACTTCTATGTCGCTTTAAAGCTCCTAATCTGCCTCCACCGTCATTTTAAAGCTCCTGCTCTGCTTATACCATCGTTTGAAAGCTCCATGGTGGGCAATGATGGAGGTTCGGTAATGGTGAGAAGTAATGGAGATCCGACAACCATCCTGTCACCACACCTTCTAATCAGCCCTCCTCACCTTCTTCTCTCATGTTCACCGACCTTAATCTCTTCTTGATTTACCACAAAATTCCAATCAGCACCACCAGACACACCATCACCAAGCTCGTGTGATCTGAATCGAAGAAGGTAGGGTGAGAATCAAATCAGAACAGAATAGGAGGAAGGGAGGGTCGTGGTTGTCGTCGATTGAAGCTAGAACTGGAAGGAGAGGACCTGTGATTGTGAGAGAAGGAGGGGTACATCGATTTGAGATCTGAGCTGTGTGATCTGAAAAGTTTGTTGATGATTAGGTGTTGAAGATAACAAGGAGTTTTTTGTTTATCATAAAATGGAAATCGTTGATAATTTTTTTTGTTTTTCTGATGAACACAGATGATTTTTTTTAGGTGAATGTTTGATCTAAAAAGTTTAGTTCTGTGTGTGAGAGAGAGATTTGTGGGGTGATATATATTTTTTTGTTTTCTTTTAATTAAAGGAATTAGAATTCAATTAAAACAAATAGAAAAAAAATAATTTTAAGGGCATATTAGTCATTTTAGGTTGGGTATAGACCAAAATCACATAAAAATGCTAACTATAAGGACCAAAATCGCACAAAGTATCCGAAATTGGACCACCGATGCACTACCAAACTTTTTTGGACCAAAACGACATAATTTTGACAAACACAGAGACCATTTTTGCAATTTTGTCTTTAAATTCATTTTTATGTTATTACCGAATAAATTAAACTATTGATACAATGTAGATGGACCCACTTTACACCCTACACTTCATACATATGCATACCTCACGTCACTCACCCACTTACACGCAAACTCGTGTTTTAATCTTCCATAAATTATGCCTTAATCGGAGTACTAACATCGCTGCTAGTAAACCACCTCCTATTCGAAGCCTTCATTAGAGAAACACCACCACAATGTAGAAACCTTTCCTTTATTCTCTTAACCTAAAACCACCTCAGTTGTCTTTACCTTCATCTCCATTTTAGATCCTAACACCAATTTGTAGCTCTAGTTTGCTGATCCTAAAACCGAAGGTTGCTCGATTTGAGATTTGACGATGCGAAGTCACCACAAGCTGCCATCGAACAACCATCCAAACTTCTATAGGCATTGTGGGCCGATGAAAAATGCGGATTCCGTTGGAGGTATAAAAGCCAGACCAATGAGCCCATTCCATTAATTCACTCATTATAACGAGGCTGACAAATATGTACCCCGACAAACCAACCAACATGTTATCAACCGAACAAAAAACGTTGCTAACCAATATGTTTGTTAGTCAACATTTGTAGTTGGTATTACTGTAGCAATTAAGTAATCATGGTACGCTAGTGATACAAAGTTTCAATACTACTGTATTACCATAATAATCAATTCAATATATATATATATATATATATATATATATATATATATATATATATATATATATATATATAATACATGTTTTGTGTTTAGAATTTTAAGAGCTTTCGTATTATCATTTGCCATAATGTTTACATTTTAAACTCTTGTTGGTGTATCTCATTTCCACCATTTTTTTTAACTTTTAAGTCATGATAGAAATTAATAAAATCTTTTTGGATCGATATTTCAATCTCAACAATTACAAAACTCTTATTCACAAAACCCCCATTCACATTTCCCAATGCTCAAGAATACGAAAATCCTAATTAACAAAACCCTCATACATGTTGGTATATACCATTAACAATATGTATCAACTGAACTTATTGGTAGTCAAACAAGATGGTACCAACTATATTTTGTACGGTAGTGGTAGCAAATTTACATACCAACTATAATTGGTACGATATATGTTTTAAAATAAAATGACTGGTACTGCACCAATTTCATCGCTAATAACCATAGTGTGAAAAAGAGAGGGTGAACAACATTTCAGATTTGACCACATGAAGCAACCTCAATCAAGCTACCAACCTTAATTGGACCAGTGACACCATCCCATTCTTGGTGGAGCAATCGTGAAGAGTGAAGCATAGGGTAAGCGGCGATTCAACTTACATACCTTCATCTTCCGACTCAAAAAGTTTCTTTATGAAAGCGTTAGGGTTGAGCTTATCAAACATCGTATTCACATTTTTTGGACGTCCGACTTCGCTAGTGAGGCCGGATGTAATCAATTACTATCCCCTACGGTTGTAAATAAGGGGGACATAGTTTCAATTTTTTTTGTAAGCTGGCCCATATCAGTTCTCATGTTTAAATCTTTCGATTGTTGACTACAATTAAAAGTCTTTCAGAACTTGATTTGGATTATATGTTTGCCAGTAAACAACCAAGGCAATTACGAGATCTACATAGACGAAACCAATGTAGAGCGCGGGGTAGCCCGGGATGCACCTTAAAAAAAAAATTAGTAGTTCAGAAAATTTTGTTTTATGTTGTGGTGATACTCTGGAAAAAAACTCGGGCTACCATAAAAAAAGATTTAGGTTATTTGTTTTTGTATATTATGCAACTTTTTTCTTTTACCCCTTTACTTTGATCGTCGCTCCGCCACTGGAATCTACGGTTTGGTCGGCGGACGTCGGGGTTTCAGGACTCCATGATCTCATAATGGGGTGGATATGGGGGTGAAGCTTTGGGTTTCAAAATTTGATTTTCGTGGTTGTCTTGTTCGCCGTAAGTGAATGAGTGGTGGTTAGAGAGGCACAAAACCCGAATCCGATCCGGTTTTGCTTACGTCATCAAAAATCCGATCCGGATCCGGTCAAAATCCGATCCGGTTCCAACCAAAATCAGAATCCGATTCTAATTCGATTTGATACCCGTTTAAACCGATTTTAATGGGTTTTAAGCGGATTTTGGGGCGGATTTGGACCCCGTTTTTAGCGAATCCGGTTTACGATCCGGTATCAAATCCGATTTGGAATATAGGATTACAATCCGATTGAGAATCCGGTTTTAAATCCGATCCGATCCGGTTTGGTCAAAACCGGTTTTGACCCAATTCAGTTTCGGATTGGATCCGGTTTTAAATAGTGAAACCGGTTTTGACCCAATCCAGTTTCGGATTGGATCCGGTTTTGAATAGTGAAACCGGATTTTGTGTGCATCTCTAGTGGTGGTGGCTGGATATGACAAATGAAAGAAATGGACATTTTCTTTACGCTGTGGGACATATTACTTTTCTTTTAACTTTTAAATAATAACAAAAAAAAAATTAATTAAAAAGTAAATACATAAGGGCAATGCAATCGTTTTAGAACTGCCAGGTACTAAGATCGCAATATAACCAAACCACAGGGACCATATGATATGATATAATGTTGTTACGGACCAACCATAAAACTACTCTAACACATAGGGACTATCCGTGTAATTTACTCTTATTTCTTCTATCATCACAAGTTATATTAATCAATTAAATCCTTGTGCGCTTCTTCTTTTATTTATCAGTTAACACAAAACAGCTTGCCAAAGTTTAAAATTATTAAAATCCAACTTCAGTGTGGTATAAATGTTTACATCAGCATTCGGCATACTACTTGCAATCTTGTCCATAATGAACAAAATCAAGCAAAAGCTCCAAACATTTGCAAAAATTAGGCAACTTCACACAATCATATCTCAGGAAACCATTAGACCATCTTCCCCAACACCTCCGCACCTGAAAACTCATAATCTTTCGTTTCTTGATCAGTTTTCTCCTGACATGCACACGCCATTTGTTCTGTTCTACCGGAACTACAAAACTGTTGACACCAACGTCTTAAAGCAATCCTTATCACAGTGCTTAACACAGTATTACCCCTTCGCCGGTAGAATTCCAACCCCTTTTTTACCTTACATCAACTGCAACGACGAAGGGGTAGAATTCCTTGAAGCTTTTAATTATAGCCCCATCGACGACTTCATTCACAAGAAGGAGCAAAACGAAACCCTAGACCAACTCTTTCCTTATGGTCTCAGCTGTACTCTTCGTGCTTCTTGCCCTAAGTTGCTCGATGTCCAGCTGAACCATTTTGCTGGTGGTGGAGCAGCAGTGGCTGTGTCCATGTCGCACAAGCTTGCTGATGGAGCCACCTTTGCCAACTTCATCAACCATTGGGCTACTGTTACACGTTGTCAGCCACCAGTAAATCCATCTTTCACCTCATCCTCCACAAGTAATAGCGTTAGGTTGCCTAAGTTCATTATTAAGGACTTGGATAAAGTAAAGTATGCTACAAGGATATTTGTGTTTCCTAATTCAAAACTAAATGAGCTGAAGAAGAAGGTTGCTGCCACCGGAAAAGCTCCAACGAACCCTTCTCGAGTTGAAGTGTTGACGTCTTTAATATTTAAACACGCAGTGAGTGCAGCAGCAACAAAGTCAGATTCTTTGAAACCATCAAACTTGTCTGTAGCTACGAACATGAGGAACAAGTTTGTTGAAAACTATCCTGAAACAGCAGCAGGAAACTTATTCACGTTAGCGATAGCAAAGATGGAGGAATTTGGTGAAATCAGGTTGAGTGAGGTGATTTCTGAGGTAAGGAAGGCAAAAATGGGTCTTGAAGGAATGAGAGATGAGCAAGAAGTAGTTGAAAAGTTGCTAAACACATTCTCCACCTTAAAGGGTGATATTTATTATAGTTCAAGCGTGTGTAGGGTTCCATTTTATGAAGTGGATTTTGGGTGGGGCAAGCCACAAGAAGTTCTATTAAGAATTCCAAATGTGGACGAGAATACTATCATTTTGATGGATACTCCATCCGGAGATGGTATTACAGCACATGTGCATCTGCCAGAAGAAGAAATGGCCATTCTTCATAAGGACAAAGAGTTTGTTAGTTATCTTCAAGACATCTAAAAATATATGTGCCGTTTGGTTGTGCATCAGTGCATGATTCCTACTTATTAATCATCGACAAAGTCATGAATTGCTTTTATATGTTTGAAAACTGAAACCTGTCAATTGGTTGGGTTTCATTTTTGTTAATAACAATCACATGTTACGATTAGATACACTTTGGATAGTGGTGGTTATCTCACGAGTCAGGAGTAGTGGAAATTCAAGATCCTAAATATTCCCACATACTCTTTTAGGCCTTCTAGAGCAGGGGAGGATTTGGGGGTTCTCCGAGGTCCCGGACTGATGGTTTTTCTCAAACCTGAATCACACTTCAACAAGCAAACAATGACAATTACAAACGTAAAAAAGAAGAGAAACTGTGAGGCAAAATGTTTTGCTCTGTATTTCAATGAGTGAGAGAATTAATTTCAACGTACATCTTGCCTACGTTTTTAAAGGGAAAAACAATGCTGAAAATCAGGAAACTAACCACTACGTCTACTGACTCGGACTCTCATGCCAACATGGCTTGATATATTCAGCCTAACTAATAAACGTGCATTAATAAAAAAAATGCGTAAAAATAAACTTTCTGAATTATTATTCCACATTATCCCCCTTAATTCAGAAATTTTTTTAAACCTGATTAACTCCGATCAAGGTCTTCATTTCTCCATGCTTTGTCTTCGCCATTGCCTTAGTCAATACATCAGCCTTTTGCTTGTTGCTGCATACATAGCTAACTGTGATCTCCCCACTTTCAACACAATCTCTGATGAAATGGTAACGTATGTCTATATGTTTGTTGCGACCATGAAATACTGGGTTCCTCATCAAATTCAACGCTGACTGATTATCCACAAACAGAGTGTCAGGTGGCACCCTCTGTTTTGTTAATTCTGTCACAAGTCTCCTTAACCAAATCCCTTGGCATGCTGACATTGTTGCAGCTATGAATTCTGCTTCACAAGATGACAGTGCAACTACCTTTTGTTTCTGGGATGCCCATGTAACCAAGTTCTCATTCACATAGAAGGCCATTCCACCTGTGCTTTTTCTGTCCACCACATCATTTGCTAAATCACTGTCTGAGTATCCTGTAATTGTGACTTCACCTTCTTTCCTTCTGTAACTTAACCCATGATCAAGTGTCCCTTTTACATACCTCACAATGCCTTTAACCACCTGTAAGTGTTGTTCTATGGGTTTCTCCATGAATCTACTCACTAACCCCACTGCAAAAGTAATATCGGGACGAGTATGCGTTAAGTACCTTAAATCACCAACGATACTTCGGTATTCTGTGGGATTTACGAGTTCTCCTTCTCCTTCTTTTGTCAGCTTCAGCTTATGTTCCATTGGTGTCTTCGTGGGATTGCAGTCAAGCATTCGAGTTTTCTTTAAAATGCTTCTGGCATAAGCTTCTTGTTTCAGGGTTATGCAGTCTTGCTTCTGATTCACCTCAATTCCTAAGTAGTAACTTAGAAATCCAAGATCGCTCATCTCAAATTTCGCTTTCATATCAGCCTTGAAAGCTTGAATACTCTTGTGAGATCCCCCTGTCACTATTAGATCGTCAACATAAACTCCAATGATCAGAATATTACCTTCTTCTTTCTTTGTGTAGACAAAGTATTCTTGAGCGCATCTTGTAAATCCCAAACTCTTCAGATACTTGTCTAAGCAAGCATTCCATGCCCTTGGTGCTTGCTTCAGGCCGCTTCAGGCCGTACAGGGCTTTCGAGAGTTTGTAGACCTTGTTTGCTTCATTCTTCCTTTCATACCCTTCAGGCTGGGAGACATATACCTCTTCTTCCAAATTTCCATTTATGAATGCTGATTTCACGTCGAGGTGATGCACTTTCCACCCTTTTGATCCTGCCAGCGCCAAGATCACTCGAATTGTTTCAATCCTGGCCACCGGGGCAAAGACTTCGTCATAGTCTATGCCCTGTTTCTGAACGTAACCCTTTGCCATGACTCTTGCTTTGTGCTTGATTACTTTGCCATCTGGGTCTCGTTTCACTCTGTAGACCCATTTTAACCCGATAGCCTTGCGATTCGGTGGGAGATCAACGAGATTCCATGTTTTATTCTTCTCGATTGATGCCAATTCGACGTTCATGGCATCAACTCAAACTCTTCTTTTACTAGCTTCCTTGTACGTGGTTGGCTCGTCATCATTCCGAATCATCATCAATTCGTTGATTTCTTCCATCTCTTCTGTTTCGTTGTACAAGTCTTCGAGTAAGCGAAAACGCTTTGGCGCTCCACCGCCTGTAGAGCTTGAGGCGGTACTCGTTGATGTCGCCGGTGATGGTGGATTTGGGGTTCTTGGTGAATTAGGCGAACCTGATGGAGTGTTAATGGGTGTTTGCTGTGGACTCGGGTCGGTTTGATTCGTATTTGGCTGAGGGGATCCGACCCAATTTTCATTTGACATTAGCCCACCGTCTTGATCGGGTGTATCTGGCACCCATTCACCATCTTCGTCGTGGAAATCATCGTCGAGGTTGAATCCTTCGACGGTGAACGTCATCCCCGTCACCTCTTTCACCTTAGCACCGGTTTCCCATGTCCACTTCTGTCTTTCTTCAAACACAACATCCCTACTAACATACATTTTTCCGGTTTCTGGGTCTAACAACCGATACGCTTTTGACCCCTTTTCTACTCCAAGATGAACCAGTTTCATACTCCTTTCGTCGAGCTTTTTCAAATGAACCTTAGCAACTTTCATGTGAGCGACACAACCAAACACTCTCAAGTGTTCAACGCTTGGTTTTCTTCCCGTCCACCTCTCATACGGGGTTGTGTCTTTTAGAGCTTTTGTATGGGCTCTGTTTAACACATAAACAGAGTGACTAACTGCCTCACCCCACAGAACATCTGGCATCTCCATTGTCTTCAGATTACATCGTACCATCTCCAATACAGTACAATTTCTTCTCTCCACTACTCCGTTCTGTTGTGGGGAGTATGGAGAGGTGTAATGTCTATGTAGCCCTCTTTCATTGCAATACGTGGTGAATTGGTTGCTCAAGAATTCACCACCTCGATCCGTTCTGAAAGTTTTGAGCTTTTCCCCTGTTTCATTCTCAACCAACTTCCTGAAATTCTTAAAAGTTTGGAAAGCCTCGTCTTTCGATTTCAGCAAATATACCCACATTACTCTGCTATAATCATCCACAAGCAGCATGAAATAACGATTACCTGAAGGTGTGGGTGGTGACACTGGTCCACATAGGTCGCCATGGATCAATTCCAACCTTCTCTTCGCCCTGTAATTCGTTTGAGCTGGAAAAGGATTTCTCGTCTGTTTTCCCACCAAACATCCTTCACATGGCTGTGAAGGAATGTTCAACCTTGGTACACCTTCAATCAGTTTCTTTTCAGCCATATTCTTCATCGAGTTGAAGTTGATATGGCCCATTCTCACATGCCATAACCAAGTTGGATCACCGATCTGTACACCCAAACACATTGACCTTATTTCTTCCAGCTCCACCTTATAGAGTCGATTTGGTGACCTTCTAACCTTCATAAGCAAATTCCCCTTTGTATCATAGACCCATAGGAAAGGATCTTTGATCTTGATTTCGTCACCTCCTTCTGCTAACTGACCCAAACTTATTATATTATTGCACAATTCAGGAATATAATATACCTCATCAAGCTTTCGAAGATCTCCATTCTTGCACTCAAAGACAATCGAGCCTTTTCCTTCAATTCTAACACGAGCTTCATTTCCGAACTTCACGTATCCCTGAACTGACTCATTCAATTCTCGGAATTTATCCTTGTCACCGGTCATATGATTGTTGGCCCCGGTGTTAAGATACCACATGCTAGATCGTTTCACTTCATCTTCCTTCTTTCTGATTTCTGGGGATACATTTTCTTCAGGAAAACTTCTTCATTATCGAATGACACGAGTAACAGTGCTGGTTCGTTGTCATTGTCTTCTCGAATCAAATTGTTTTCGAAACTTCTTTCACGCCTTGGATTCGTACACTGCGCTGCATAGTGGCCGAATTTCTGACAATTATAGCACTGCACCAAGCTTTTATCTTGATTGTTTAACGACCCACGACCTCCATCCTTTTGGTAGTGTGACCCACCTCTGCCACGACCACCTCTTCCTCCGCCATTCCTTCCTCATCCTCTTCCTCTGCCTCGATTATTATTGAATCCGCCTCGATTTGATTTAGACTTGGAATCTCCTTCTCCTTTCTTTTTATTTCTTTCAGTCCATTCTTGCTGCGTAAGAAGGAGCTTTCGATCTTCAGTTTCGCCATGACCTTTCATTCGTTCCTCGTGAGCCTTTAATCTCCCGATCACTTCTTCCACATTCATCTCTTCTAAGTTTCCGAATTGTTCCAAATTTGAGGCCAATTGTAGATATTTAGATGGGACGACCCTGAGTAATTTCACCCAAGGCTCATATCGAACTGACTATGAGGCTCACCTTCATTGCGAAATCATCGACAACATCTGTCTCCTTCATATTTAGAGCTTCAAATTCAGTCTTCAGCGTCTGAATTTTGGCGGTTTTCACTCTGTCTGCCCCCATATACATCGTTTTTAATGCATCCCATGCATCCTTGGCAGTCTTCTTCTCCGCTAGTGACATTAGGAGATCCTCAGGGATTCCTTGATAGATGGCCGCCAATGCCATCTTGTCTTTCTTTGTCTCCACCACCGTATTCGATGTGCGTGGCTCCACTGCATCCCATACACCATGAGCTTGCATGAAGACTTTCATTTTTAATGCCCAAGCTCCGTAGTTACTTCTCGTTAACATCGGATAGTGGAGAGTGATATGCCTGTGTTTGTCACCGTTGCCGTTGCCACTGATACCAATCGCCATCTCTTCTCGAGCTTGGTATTTTGGCATGCACCAGATTCGCTCTGATACCAAGTGATGGTTTTTCTTAAACTTGAATCACACTTCAACAAGCAAACACTGACAATTACAAACGTAAAATAAAAGAGAAACTGTGAGGCAAAATGTTTTG